TTTTTATGTTGATGCCACTTGTTTTCTGGAGGGAAAAAACACACACACAGACACACAATTAATCCTCGATCCCCAAGAAAGTATGGGAAAATATGGGAAAGTGGGAGGGAAGACAGAAACCCTGAAAACATTGAAAAATATGGAGAATCTTTTTTAATTTGTGTGTATTTATTTGTGTGTCCCAGGGCCCCTTCATTTTTGTTCCCCTGCAGGACACCCGGGCAGGCGAGGCCTCTCCGCCGTCGCGCGTCGTGGCTCCCGGGCCCTCCTGTTCCTGCGGCGCGGCCGCGTGCCGTTCTGGAGGCGCACCGCACGGCTTGCCACGCCGCGTCTCCCCATTCCCCCCGCCTCGGTCCTCGACCCTCCCTCTCCCCTCTTATACAGTCGAGGCGTTGACCTAAGGAACTCTAGATAAGGAACGAGGCCCTTTTTTTTCATGAGTTAACCTTCGATTTCGCATCGAAAACCTAAGGAAAGCCTGAGGCAAGCTGTGAAACACTTAAGGAACGCGGAGCCCCTCCCCAACGAAAAGGGTTCCTTCTTCAGGGCCCCGACTGTATGATCCCCCCGTCCCTCCCTCCCCTCCCCAACAGCCTCGAGGCCTGGATCCTCGAGTTTCGAGCCCCCCAGGCTGCCTGGGCCATCTCCTGAAGCGAATGGTGGCGTCGGCATCACCGCATCCTCTCTTCCTGTCCGCCTTCGTCGTGCTTCTCCTCCTCCTCCTCCTCCTGCGTGCCCCAGTCGTTCAACTCCTCCCCGCGGTCATTTTCCCTGTCATTCCCCTCCTGCTCGTGATCCGCTACGTCCTCTATCCCCTTGCTTCCTTGCCTTCCTCGTCGCCGTCCTCAGTCCGACCTCCTGCCCCGTCTGTCAGCGCTCCTCCGCCCCTCCGCCTTCTTCAGGCTCCTCCCAGCCCCCCTCCACCTCTCGGGCCGGGCGAAAGGGGGGGATTGGGAAAGGGGGGGTTACGAAATTTGCTGCATACAGCTGGTTTCGGCCTCACCGAGGGGTCCATTCCTCGATACATAGCTGCCTCCGGCGCCGGGAGGCGCCATGAAAATCAGCTACGTGAGCTGATTCTCAAACCCCCCCTTTGCTATCCCCCCCTTTCGCCCGACCCGAACCTCTCTCGTGCTCTTTCCAGCTCCTGATCCCCAGGGCCCTCTCGCACACGGGACTCCTTCGGAATACCTGCGCTCTTCCGCCCTCGACTCCGCGAGCAAGAGGGGGCCCAGCTCCGTGGCAAGGCATGGCATGCAGGGGTGTGATGGCAGGCGAGCGCGACGATCCTGCCTCCGCTCCCGCTCCCGCTCTGGTCCCCCGCCCCTCGCCTCCAGCACGCGCCGGTCGCTGAAAGTAGGTATTATTGGATTCCCAGGTCCCAATCCACTTGATTCGTCTTCCCACTTCATGTTTTTATCTACTGCTTCCGACCGACGTGTACCCTCCCTCGCGTCTCCTCCGACCGTCTTGGCTTGGAGTGCTCCTTGGGGGCTCTTCCTGGTGTCTCAGACTTGGCCGTCGTCGAACGATCTGCGCCATCGGAGAGCCGCGATCGTGCTGCGTTGATCGGAAAGCGTGGCCGTCCAAGGCTGAACGATGCACGCGGCGTCAGAAACCAGCGCCGACGTCATCGCGTCGTGAACCCGCCAGACAGTCGAAACCGATGATAAGGATGGGTAACCTTCCCAAGGGCACCCTTGCATCCCTGTCTCTTCGGTCCATCCTTAAAACCTCTCGATGACAAGTCCCGCTTGAAAGCTTCGACATGGGCGTCCAAGTGGCTTGCACTTAGTGCCCCACGGAAACGTCAGGGCTGATTCACCGTTTCCGTAGAAGTGTCGCTTGATAATGGAAACGGTAAACAAGGAACGGCAACCGGAAATTGTTCAAGAACGGTTCCGGAATTGGACCCCCAAACCAGTAACAAATCGGCGACGGGACCGGGAAGAAACAAAGCGCCCGAACCAGCAACAAAAACGGCAAGACGGAACCGGCGAAAGAACGGCCCTATCGTCTCCATGGCCCACCAAGGGTTTGCGTCCGCATCGCGCATCCTTTTTACCTAACAGCGAAGACTGATAGGTTTCTAATGGTGTAAAAAGAGAGCAGCAGATGACTCCACAGGGGGGTCTGGGCAGCCGTTGGGGACGAGTTGGGGGGCCGTTGGGGGGCCGTTGGGGATTGCCGGGGAACCTCGTTTTTCGCAAACAGTCACACACTTCGTGCTCTTCGACCTCCCAGAACTCCATTCTTCGACCTCCCAGAACTCCATTCCCGGGCCACATTCTGAATGCCCGGAGCCAACTGTAGGCCACTTCGTGGTCTTCGAGTTCCCAGAACTCCATTCCCGGGCCACATTTTGGATGCCCGGAGCCAACTGTAGGCCACTTCGTGGTCTTCGAGTTCCCAGAACTCCATTCCCGGGCCACATTTTGGATGCCCGGAGCCAACTGTAGGCCACTTCGTGGTCTTCGAGTTCCCAGAACTCCATTCCCGG